TTTATGAATATATAAAAAAATAGAAGTGATTTATTTGTACCTGCGATGTTAATAGTAAATATGGTCAGATTCTGCCTTCTTGATGGTTGGTTAAATATCTTTTTAAGGTTTTTATGTTTCTCGTGGTGTTGATAAAATCCTTGAAAAAATGTATTAACTTTTTGTGATCACAATCCCACTTATCCTGACTGGAATTAGGTCTACCGGTTTCAAGATACACAATTTCAAGTTCAGCTTTTTTTCCTAACTAGGCTACCATCATATAATCGGCTCTTCGGGTAATTTTACAAGAATCTTTTCGTATAGCACTAGCTGAACTTCCTTCTTCGCCTCTTATTTTTAAAAAATATATTAATTATAGCGAAGGATAAGATAGTGATGTAACTTTTCGAGCTAAGCTTACCATATATCCCATACTAGTGGTTTTCCTGGTAAATTGCTCATCACTATATTGATTAATAGCGCGAGCACTTCACAAATATATGATTCTTCATTTATTGATTTCCCTTCTTTATATATGCTTTGTATTTCGTTGATTTCCAAACTTTGAACTTATAATTAGTTATCAGTTAATGAGCGAAGTAAAAAATTTACTCAGCAATTTTGCAAAATATGCGGTCCCTAACTTACATTAATTCTAACATCCATTTTGTTAAATCTTATAATTCTTCAGATTTATCCAACCATTCTTCATAATTAATATTACCCAAAACATCATCCATATTAATTTTTGATTCCTCATTCCGGATAAATTCTTTACAGGCTTCTATTATATCATGATTCTGTTCTAAGTTATATCTTCGAAATGGTTCCTTAAAAATATCAGAAACTGATCTGGATATATTTGTAAAGGGTTCTGACTTGATATCTAGAACACCTGAACAAATTGGATGATCGAATTCAAGATGTTCTACATTTATTTCCTCAAGTTCTATTTCTATTATCTTCCACATAGTTTTCTCATAACTAGTGCTCTTAATTATGCACTGTCTAACGTTACGCTTCAAAGATTGTAAATTTGTATTTGCATCTTCATACCAGGCTTCAATATCAATTACTAGTGCTTCTATTTCTGAGAGTGAACATAGATCTTCGAATGTAGTTGCGATCTAAAATATATTTAAGATTAGTTTCCAAGACTCGGTTGACAAATAATTTAATTTTACATCACAGGATCAGATTAGGTTTCCACTTTCATAAAGTCTCAAATGCTGGCAAAATGTTTGATATATAGCTATATGGGAAGTTTGCTAGGAAAATGGAGTTCTGAGACATTTTTTAAAAAATTGAAATTTTTGATACATATTAATCTA